TCTATCTATTTTTCTTTCACTATCTCTCTTATTTTCGATTCGAAACTCTTCTCGAATTATATATACCATCCGGCAAGCAATGTTACTATCTTTTTCCTTCTCGGGAATCGTTCATCGTGAATAATTCATAACCAATAGCTCACGGAAGGTAGGTCTTTGATAGAAAATACATAGATGTATGAAACCAAAGGATAAACCGAAAGAGAAAAACCAACGAAAAATACTTGGAAGTTGGATTTTTTTTKTTTKTTTKTTTTKTTKTTTTTTTTTTTTTTTTTTTTTTTCCATAAAATTCTATAGATTCTATTACATTTTTACTATAATTATACGTTAAATATATAATTTGACAAAATAATAATAAAAAAAAGAAACATTAAAAAATAATAATATCTTACATAAAAGTTTTTCATAATTATTACAGATTCAAAAATTAATGTTTTTTAAAAATCAATAGTATAAAATTAAATAATATATATTAGATAATTGATTAAAATACTTAAAAATAAAATGTGCTTATAAAATACTATCGAATTCTATTATATTTTTTTTTTCGCAGAGTACTTAAACGTTAAATATAATCCTGACAAATAAAAAAGATCATATAAAAAATATTCGAAAAATAATATAATCGAAAATAAAACTTACTGTTCTTGATAGAAGCCACTCAAACTGCTTGTAGAAGTAGGAAGATACAAATCAAAACTATAATAAACTGATACAATGTTATAGAATATAAAGAAGATTTGTAAAAGAATTTATTGAAGAGGATTTCCTTTATCGATGCACACGAAACAACCGTCTCTACTGTACTGTCGACTAGAAGAACACAGATTGAGTAATAGGAACAGAAAAACAAATCATAAAATATAAACAAACGTTTATGTATGTATATATATATATATATATATACAATGCACGTGCTTATGTTAACGTTCGTACTCGACGTGAACTTGAAAATATAGCTAAGCGAGTATTTCACAAGGATATCGAATTTTATCGTAACGTTGTATATACACGGTGTAAAATATAACTCTATCGTAAGTACGAAGAATAAACGAAAGAAAGAAATAAAATAAGAAAAGGACAATATATATATATATAAGAAAGAGAGTGAAAAAGGAACGTCTTAGAAAAGTATGAAATAAGATCTTAAAGAAGAGTATGAGAAAGGTAAAGGCAGAAGGAAGGGTCAAGTACTCTTGGAAATCTAAGAAATTGAAATTCGTGGTACTTCCGGTACTCGAGGGATTCTCTTATGTTAGTTATCTTTTATCGATTCGTCCCCGGCACGTGTATATGACGTGTTTTACAACACATCGATAATCGAACCGATCAAAATAATAAAGAACACACACAAAACTCGAGTACTCTTCGAAAAGAAAAGATTTTTCTGATATACTTTTTGAAAAATTATTACTCACGTATAACACTATAATAAAACGATTAAACAATAATACGTGGACTTGAGTTAAATACATTCGCAAAATTAAATGAATAAACTTGTTGGTCGTATACATTTTTATCGAAAAGAAATTAATTTGAAATTAAACGATGAAATTATTATTTAATAGCAACAACAACCTAAGCGTAATAATTCATTGGTTATATCAAAAACTTTATATATATTATATAAACGTTAATAAAAATAAAGTAAAAGGTCTTCGATTTTCCACATTGCTTCCGAAAAAGATCCAAGCTAGTTCAGAAGTAAATCACGAAGGCGTGTACAACTACTCCCTGACATTTCCTTGACGGGTTTCCCAACGGAGCGTACAGGTGGCACGAATCTCCTGTTCAAAATACTGGCCCTGGCCGACATTCACTCACCCCAAAGGCTTTTCTTCAGAATATTCAATTCCTTACTACTCGAAAATGTCATTCGTTGGCAACTACGGGTTTTGCCATTTTACACTTACCCGATCAACGAAAGAAAAAAAAAATGAAAAAATATAAGAGATGGTCAACTTTGTCGTTTAATATTTTTGAACGAATAAAAAAAATCTTTCACGTCCGAGAAATTTCTTCCCATTCCACCCCCAACCTTCCCCACTCCTATATATATATACATGAATGAATATGTACAAGTGTATCGAAGATACGTTATTCCTTTTTCTTGCTATTAAAGTTAACCCATTTACAGGAGTTACAAGAAATTCGTGCAACTCTAATCGATACGCCTAACCTCTGACCTATTATCGCGGTCTGCCAGCTTGTTCTGAGTAGATATCGTTCAACGAGATTTAGTTGAACGCGTTCTGCGACCTCTCGCTAGTACGATAAATCCTTTTTAGAAAGAGTAACCCGAGTAAGTAGTTACGGTTGAAACCTATTGCTATTGGTCGGATACATTGTTATCGAACTTAACCGAACATTCGTATTTGTATTTGTAACTTCGATAAATTTTTCAAAAGTATTGAATCTTTTTCGTGTACATTGTACGTTACTATTGGTAAGACAAATTATTTATCCAACGTACGTTTCATTCTATAAATAAAAATAATCTATGTTTTTCAAAAAAAAAGAAACAAAAGAGAATGCAACTAAAAGTTGGAAGAATTGTACATATCGTCAATAAATTTTCGAAAGCGTAATCTTTCTCGTGGATACCATTACTATTGGTCGGACAAATTATCGTTCGATAAATAACGTTACATTGAAAATAATATATAAAATGGCAAGTAATAAAATAAAATAAAATATATATATTACAAAACAGATACAAGTAGAAACTTTTATAGAAGAATGGAAACACTATTCTTTCCTCTAAATTTTGCAAAATTATAATTTATAATACAATTATTATTGGTCGGATAAAAAATATCGTACGTTTAATTTGTTACACTGAAAATAAAAGACAAATAAAATAATATAT